GAGGAGGAGTAGAGACGGAGCGACTGACCGAGAAGTAGGAATAACTGAGATGTTGAAGGAATGGGGGAGAACCCATGGCATTGCAGCGTGGGAAGAGGGGCCCTGAATCACCAGTAGAAGGGAGGAAAATACAGTGGCGAGGCACTTCACGCAGAGAGTGGCCGGAGAGAATGGAGTTTGAACCTTGGCCTTCAGAGCCAAGTGGCTCTGGGAGAGCAGGAGAGGAACAGCTAGGAACTGGAAGAGCAGAGGAAGAGAGAGCCGATGGGAAGTACAGCCACCTGGGGGTGCCACAGAGTGGGGCGGAAGGGACTGTGGCCAGGATGGAAACGCCGTAACCAGGGGATGAGAGAGGGGGCCGAGATCGGGAAGAAAGATGCAGAAAGATGTGGATATTTAGGACAGTCAGAAAGGTTGGGCGGAGAGAGCAACAGGAGGGGAAACAGGTCGCAGAGTGGGGCAGGACTGGCGTGAGGGAGGAAACAGTGAGGGAAGAAAAAGATGGACACAGAGAAAGAAATAGGGAGACAGATAAACCTAATGAAATGTAAAGATGTAGCTGTGCAGGTACAAGGGAGAAACAGGGTCCAGATGGGTGGTGAGTTCTTTGGATGTGGACAATTAAGTCGTGATATATTGATTTCTGGCTTTAAAGTCTAATAAATGTAAATTTTGTTTGTTTGACTTACATAGACAAGGATCAGAATTGAAAAACTGGCTGTAAGTTTTGTGAATTTTGTAATTATTTGAATCATAAGATGACTTCCATATTCAGTTCCTATTCAGCCCTGGGGCAGTGACTTGACTCAGACAGTTGTCCTTCACCCCCTTACATTTCTTGTCAGGGAGTAGAGGACTGGGTAAGAAAAAACCGTCAGCACACGGTACCTCTTGAAAGGAAGAAGCCCTTCGGGTGACCTTTTCAGAATTCATTTCCACCTGATTCTGTTCAGTCAATTCAGAACTTCTCCGAAATGTGTCCCCTCTGGGCCTCAGGGAGCCCACTCGTAACATAGAGATGAGAGACTAGACCAGAAATTCTCAGTCTGAGCAACACTTAACCCCTGAATTTCATTGGTGAAATTGGGTGTGTGTCTGTGTGTGGCAGTTCTTTTTCTTTGAGTATATATTTATTGCAAAGGTAATATCAAGCCTATGTAAGAATACAGACAAAAAGAAGAAAATGGAAATCATTTCTAATCCCACTCAAAAAAGATGGCATTAACCTTTTAGTATATATCATTATAGTCTTATTTTATGGATAAAGTTTTTTTGTTGTTGTTGTTTTTTTGCGGTACACGGGCCTCTCACTGTTGTGGCCTCTCCTGTTGCGGAGCACAGGCTCCGGACACACAGGCTCAGCGGCCGTGGCTCACGGGCCCAGCCGCTCCGCGGCACGTGGGATCCTCCTGGACCAGGGCACGAACCCATGTCCCCTGCATGGGCACGCGGACTCTCAACCACTGCGCCACCAGGGAAGCCCTGGATAAAGTTTTAATAAAAAGTATAAGTAGCACTTTTTATTTGGAGTATAGTTTCTTTACATTGCTTTACTGTTGTATTCTGATGTACAGCAAAGTGAATCAGCCATCTGTATACATATCCCCTCTTTTTTGGATTTCCTTCCCATTTGGGTCACCACAGAGCATTGAGAACATACTGTATAGCCTTCCCTGTGCTATACAGTATGTTCTCATTAGTTATATATTTTATACATCGTAATGTGTATATGTCAATCTGAATCTCCCATCATCCCTCCCCACCTCCCACCCCCACCCACTGTGTGTGGCAATTATTTTTGAAGAGAGTGTCTAGTTGTATTTAGAAATCTAAATGGGTCACAGTCATCCCAGAATGTAAAAGTAAAACCCTAGAAAGGAGACAAGAACATAGGCTCAGAGTTAAAGTGACCATAGTGAGATGTATTTCTCTGCAGAAAGTTTAAATTTGAAGAGAGTTTAGTCAGTCCTGGCACTCATATCTCCACTGGCTGTTATTTGTCTTTATGACAAAGTCCAGTCTCCTCACTGTGTCTACACAGCCCTGCATCATGCTCAGGGCCTTGCCGGTGTCTCCAGCCTCATCTTGGAAAGTGACCGTTTCCTCATGGTTCACTCTGCCCCGCACACATTCACCTTTTTTCTGTTCCCAAACCCCAACACGTTTTCTGTCTCAGATCTTAGTTCCTGTTCTTACCGTTGGCCTTTAAGTCACCATGGCTCAGGCCCTTTGTCCTCCACATCTTACTTCAGAGATGTGTCCCCTTCCCCTTCCTCCAACAACCTCTGAAATTACCCAGGTTTTACTGCCTCTGTATCAGTCACCCTCAACAGAAATGTACTTGTGTATTGATTATTTTTAGTCTTTCGTGCTTAACCTCCATTGAAGGACACAGTGTTCATCATCTTCCTAGGGTCACTGCAACACCTCACTCTGGGGATGTTTTCAAGGCTAGGATTATTGATTGGGCTGAGTACACCTCAGGAAATATCAAGGTGCCAGGGCAGGTAATGAGGATGGTTCTCACACTTGTTTTGGACATTTCCACTCTAATTGATCCTTACCTTATGTGTCTGTTTAATTACTCAAGAGCAAAAAGATGTAGGGAGGCCTAAAAAGTCCTGTACAGCTGGTGTCCTCAAGCAGTGGGTGATGTGTTCCCATGTTTAGTGTGCTGTGTCAGTGCTCTGCCATAGCCCCCAGGTGTTCCAGGCTGTGCACATCAGGTGACCAGTCGCCACCTTGGACAGGAGCCTTGCCTTCCGGCAGGTCATCTGCTCAGAGTCCAGGATAGTGGTTTCACTGTGCTAAGCGGGGGCAGAAGTCTGGAGCCTAATGGGGCATGAAGGAGGCCTCCCTCAAAGAGCTAGGGTATCTTTTAATTACCTGTGAGTGGGTAGAACAGGAGTCAAGAAACTTGGGAACTGTCTGCTTTGAGCCTCCGTAAATGAACTCAAATGCCTTTCTAACTGGACTTGATGACGTTCCCAATTGTTGGTCAGTTTTCCCAGGATGGCCGACTTCTTGACCTTCATAATGAATGGCCAGTGTCCTTTGGGTGGCAGCTTGCGTGTATTCCTGTTGCGATGGCTTTGCTGAGAGGTCCTTTTGTCCTTTAGCCCTGTTTGCCCATGAGTGCATGGAGGAGAGGCAGGACAGTTGGGAAGCTGGAGGGGAGCCTGTAGGGGTCTTCAGGAGGGATGTGGCAGCCAGTGTGGGCTTCAAGGTGAGCCAAGTGAATGGTGTGGGCACCTGTCCCTTGTGGGGTCAAGGCATCTGGAGAACTATTTGAAAGGGATGTCTTAATTGTGGTTAGAGAACCTTGAGGTGGTATGTGTAGTTCTGGGCTTCATTACACGAACTGAATTGCCATAAAGTCCTAGCTCAGGTTCCCTGGGACATAGATGCTGAGACTGAGGATTGCATGCATTGGTTGCATTGAATAACTCATGGTCACACCTGAGTAGGAATGAAGGCAGTGGATTTAGAAAGACAAACGTTTTCCTCCTATGCTCTTAGAGATAAGACCAGTGTGGGCCAAGGTGAGCCAAGTGAATGGTGTGGGCACCTGTCCCTTGTGGGGTCAAGGCATCTGGAGAACTATTTGAAAGGGATGTCTTAATTGTGGTTAGAGAACCTTGAGGTGGTATGTGTAGTTCTGGGCTTCATTACACGAACTGAATTGCCATAAAGTCCTAGCTCAGGTTCCCTGGGACATAGATGCTGAGACTGAGGATTGCATGCATTGGTTGCATTGAATAACTCATGGTCACACCTGAGTAGGAATGAAGGCAGTGGATTTAGAAAGACAAACGTTTTCCTCCTATGCTCTTAGAGATAAGACCTGAGCTGTGCGAACAGCACTCTCTGGGTACAGGTGGGATGGACACCATGGTCCTGAGGGAATGGATCTATAGGGTGCCCCACAGAATCCACTCTATACATTGACTCATGTTGGGTCTTTTGAGAGTGGGAGAATCATCGTGCAACCCTTAAAGTGATACACAGAAAATTTTAGAGATCATTTTGTAGGTTACCTTTGGTATTTTTGAGCATTTTATTGTGTAAGTGAAGACCATTTCAGATGCACTTTGAAAGATACAGTGGAGAATTTGGGCCATTTCATTGGGAGAGGTTGTGGTCTGACTGTGGCGTGTGCATTATTGCATGTGTCTCTTTTTTAATTAGTAGGTTTTGGAGATGACAGTGTTTGACCTGGAATCATTGTAAGTGAAAATACGGTATCTTAGGTTTAGTGGGTCCTTGGGTGTCTTCACATGTAATTTTTGTGATAATTATTACAGTGTATATATCTGCCAAATAATCACATTGTATATCTTATATGTACACCATGTTTATTCATCAACTATACATTAATAGAGCTTGGGTAAAAAAGAATGTGGGAGGTGTGCTGGGCTCACCCCCTCTAGGAGGTGTTCCACCCAGACGTCACATTGATTTGAGGAAGGCATCTTCATATATCCCCTTCATATAACAAGAGGGTTGCTTTCCAGTAGTATGGATGGGGCCCAACATCAGTAATCCTTTAAGTGACCCAGGATGTTCCAATCCAGATCCCTCACTGAGCATTGTGACTCTGAGTCCCCCCGTTTCTGAGGGCTGAGGGTGAGGGCTCTGCTCTGCGTGGGGATGGATCAGGGCTGGTCTGTGACCCGAAGGGGATCGTCGGGTCCAGCTGAGGTGCCCACTGCTGCTGGGTACGTGAGGGCCTCACCAGGAGGGGAGCCTGATCTGAAGAAAGGGTGGAAAACTCCCTTGTTGGTCTGTGTGTGGGAGTTACTGTCCTGAGCCCCTCCTGGGACAGTGGGCAGCAGAGAACCATCTGTTCCACATGCTGAGGTCTTCTCTGTGTGTGTGGCTGTGACTCAGGAAGGGGGTGTGTTGATTCTCAGCATTAAACAGCATGTTTTCAACTCTCAGGGTAGACCTCTAAAGAGTCCTGTTGTCTAACAAAGAAGCCCTTAAGAGAAGGAAAAGAAAAGGAATCAGGAATGGCTCTTTCTGAGGTAAAGTCATATTCTCAGTAGATTCTTCAGTCTTTCCTTTCTGAAGTGCCCTCAATTGGACTTGCTAATCTTGTCTCACTCTGAGGTATCCTTCCTGACACCTGTACATTCACCTTTATCTAGTGCCTTCCCTCAGTCCCTGTCATGTCCACTTAGATTTCATCTCCCCTGAGGTTCCAGTGGACATTGTCTTAGGTAGGGCTTCACACCTATAGATTGTGGATGGGGTCTCAGTGCTATTGGGCAGCAGGTATTGTTAAAGGGCTTCGTCTGAATGCACTGTCCGCTCTCTGTAAATTCCGTGACCCATCCTGTTCGTGGAATCATCTGAATATGCACAATACTTGGTAAATTCTGGAAAACTGAACAATAACAAGAAATTTGTTCTGATTTTTTTTTATAATACACTAGAAGCTAAATGAGTGAGTCACTGACTTCAAAATCTCAATGATTGGAAAATGGAATGGTAAGTTCAGAAAGAGACATCAGTGATAGAGGGTGTTTTATTCCATCATGATTTTAAACTGTGAAATCAACAAAATTCTCCGCATTCTTTAAGTCACTTTCTTCCCCTCCGTTTCTCAGGGGTTGTCTTTACACTCTGTTGATTGCCTTTTTCATGACAGAAGTTTTTCTGTTTTATGCAAGTAAGGTTCCTACTTTCTTCTTTTGCTGGTAGATATCCAGTTTCCCAGCAGCATGTTACTGAGACTGTCCTTTTTCTATTGTGTAGTCTTACCACCCTTGTGAGTACATTTTACACACATGCCAAGGATCATTTGTGAGCATTCTGTTCTATTCCTTTGCTTTATGTGTCTGTGTTCATGCCAGTACCACACCATCTTGATTAATTTGTATGTAATGTTTTGATATTCCAAAAGGGCCTTCTCCATCTCCCTCCTGTTTCAAGAGTATTTTGGCCATTTTGGGTCCTTTGAGATTCTCTTAGCATGTTTTTTTACCATGTTTTTTTGTATTACTGCAAAGCATGTTTTTTTCTGTCACTGCAAATATTGCCATTGGAATTTTGACAGGGATTCTGTTATATCTATAGAACACTTTGGGACTGTGGTCATTTTAAGAGTATTAAGTCTTCCAGTGCATGCGTACAGGATATCTTTCTATTTGTGTGTATCTCCTTGGATTACTTTTAACAAGTTTTGTAGTTTTCAGTGTACAAGTGTTTTACCTCCTTGGCTAATTTATTCCTAAGTATTCTGTACTTTTTAATGCTGTAGTTAATGGGATTGTTTTCTTAATTTTTTTTGACATTTTTCATTCCATATAGAAATCTGTCTGATTTTTGCATGTTAATTTTTTTTTTTTTTTTTTTGCGGTATGCAGACCTCTCACTGTTATGGCCTCTCCCGTTGCGGAGCACAGGCTCCGGATGTGCAGGCTCAGCGGCCATGGCTTACGGGCCCAGCTGCTCCACGGCATGTGGGATCTTCCCGGATTGGGGCACGAACCCGTGTCCCCTGCATCGGCAGGCGGACTCTCAACCACTGCGCCACCAGGGAAGCTGCATGTTAATTTTTTTATCCAACTTTTCTAAAAAATTTTTTTGGCATAGTTGGGTTTTTTTTTTTTTAATTAATTAATTTTTGGCTGCGTTGGGTCTTTGTTGCTTTGTGCAGGCTTTCTCTAGTTGCGGTGAGCGGGGGCTACTCTTCCTTGCAGTGCTTGGGCTTCTCACTGTGATGGCTTCTCTTGTTACGGAGCATGGGCTCTAGAGTGTGCAGTCTTCAGTAGTGTGGCACATGGGCTCAGTAGTTGTGGCTCGCAGGGTCTAGAGCACAGGCTCAGTAGTTGTGGCACATGGGCTTAGTTGCTCCGGGGTGTGTGAGATCTTCCCGGACCAGGGCTCAAACCCATGTCCCCTGCATTGGCAGGCGGATTCTTAACCACTGCGCCATCAGGGAAGTCCCGACATAGTTGTTTTCTTGTAGTATCTTTGTGGTTTGTCCGTATAAAACTTGTTGCCCACAAAAAAAGATAATTCTTTTTTAGTTTGAGTATCTTTGATTTCTTTTTCCATTTAATGGCTTTGGTAGGATTTTCAGTACTTTGTTGAGTAGTAGTGAGTGTGCATAGCATAGAATGTGCATGCTTGCCTTCCTCCTGATGTGAGAGGAAAACCTTTTAGTCTTTGACTGTAGAGTATAATGTTAGCTGTGTTCTTTTCATATTTGGTGTTTATTATGTCGAGATAGTTTACTGTTTCTGGTTTGTTAAGGGTTTATATCTTGAAAGGTTGCTGCATTTTGTTAAGTGGGTTATTTCTGCATCAATTGAGATGATCATATGTGGTTTTTTCCTTTATTCTGTCAACGTGTTATATCACATTAATTGATTTTTCTATGTTGAGTCAACCTTGCCTTATAGGAATAAAATGTACTTGGTGTTGATTTGAATACATTTTCATGTGCTGTTGAATTTGATTTTGTAGTATTTTGTTAAGGATTTTGCATCGGTATGTGCGGGTGATATTGGTTTTGTAGTTTTCTTTTCTTGCATCTTTTTCTGTCTTTGGTATCAGAGTTAAGCAGGCTCCATAGAAGGAATTTACTAGTGTTCCCTCTGAGACTATTCAAGAAGATTTTAGCAGGATTAGAGGTAATTCTTCTGTACATGTTTGGTACAATTCAGTAGTGAGGCTATCTTGTCCTGGGTTTTTCCTTGTTTGAGATTTTTGATTATCGCTTGAATCTCCCAGTTATAATTCTATTCAAAGTTTTTATTTTGTAATGATTAGACCTGGTTAGGTTTGACGTTTGTAAGAATTTACCTGTATCTTCTAGATTATGTAATTTGTGGGCATTATTGTTCATAGTTCTCCCTTATCTTCCTTTAAAAAACGTTTCTGTGACATCAGTTGCAATCTGTTTCCTGCCTAGCTTTAAAACACCAACTCTTGGTTGATTTTTATTTTGTTTTCCTACATTCTGTTTCATTTATCTCTCATCTAGTCATTCTTCTCTGTTTCTTCCTAGTAACTTTCTGTTTAGTTTTTTTTTTTCTCCTTCCTTGTAGTGAATAGATTCCTGATTTGTGTTCTCTTTTTTGTTGTAGATGTTTAGCAGTGTAGACTTCGCTTTTTGTACTGCTCGACTGTATAATTTTAGTATGTTGTGTTGTTAATTTCATTTAGATATTTTAAAAGTTTCCTTGTCTTCTTTCAAGTATTGGTTTAAAAATGAATTGTTTAATTTCTACGTTTTTGAAGTTTTTCTGTTTCCCTTCTGCTGGCTTTTTGAAGTTTGGTTTCGTTATGTTTGGAGAAATACTTTTTACGATCTGAGTCTTCTTGAATTTGCTAAGATTTGCTTTGTGGCCTAACGTGTAGTCTGTGATGGAGAATGTTTCATGTGTGCTTGAGAAGCATGTGTTTTCTGCTTTGGTTGGATGGGGTGATCTCTGTGGTCTTGTGAGTCTATAGTGTTGTTCAGGTGCTCTGTTTCCTTTTGGTCTTCTCTTTGCTTCCATTGGTACTTAACACTGGGGTATTGAGGGGAACTCTGTTAGGTGTTTAAATATTTATAATTGTTATATCTTGGAGAGTTACCCTTTTTTATGATAATATAATGTCCTTTCTGTCTTATGTCAATTTTTCTCTTTAATTCATTTTGTCTGATATTATGCAGTCATCGCTGCTATCTCTGGGATGTAATATCTTTTTCCATCCTCTCACTTTTAGCTTTTCTGTGTCCTTAGATTTGTGAATGTTAACAGTTTTAACTCTCTGACATGCTGTTTCTGTGTCTTGCGCTTGCTTTCTGTTTTCCTCCTGTTACTTCCTCTAGTGGTCCCTGCTCGGCCACACCGCACAGTGGTGAAAGTCAGGAGCCCTGGCAAGCCCCCTTCACTCCACTGTAATGTCAGTGGGAATGCACTGAGTATTTCCCTCTTTTTTTTTTTCTCAAATTTTATTGACGTATAGTTGATTTACAGTGTCGTGTTAATTTCTGCTCTACAGCAAAGTGACTCAGTTATACATATATATTCTTTTTTATATTCTTTTTCATTATGTTTTATCATAGGATATTGAATTTAGTTCCCTGTGCTCTACAGCAGGACCCTGTAGTTTCTCCATCCTATATGTACTAGTTTGCATCTGCTGATCCCAAACTTGCAATCCTCTCCCCACCACGGTCCTGCAACCACAAGTCTGTTCTCTGTGAGTCTATTTCTGTTTCGTAAATGTGTTCATTTGTGTCATATTTTAGATTCCACATATAAGTGATAACATGGTATTTGTCCTTTTTTTTTTTTTTTTTTGCTGTACGTGGGCCTCCCACTGTTGTGGCCTCTCCTGTTGTGGAGCACAGGCTCAGCGGCCACGGCTCACGGGCCCAGCTGCTCCGCGGCATGTGGGATCTTCCTGGACCAGAGCACAACCCCGTGTCCCCTGCATCGGCAGGCAGACTCTCAACCACTGTGCCACCAGGGAAGCCCCGGTATTTGTCTTTTTACTTACTTCACTTAGTATGATAATCTCTAGGTCCATCCATGTTGCTGCAAATGACATTCTTTCATTCTTTTTTATGGCTGAGTAATATTCCATTGTATGTATATATGTGTGTGTGTGTGTGTGTGTGTGTGTGTACCACATTTTCTTTATCCATTCATTTTTCAGTGGACATTTAGGTTCTTTCCATGTCTTGAATTTTGTAAATAATGATCATATGAACATAGGGGGTCATGTATCTTTTGAATTATAGTTTTGTTTGGATATATGCCCAGGAGTGGAATTGCTGGAACATATGGCAACTCCATTTTTAATTTATTGAGGAACATCCACACTGGTTTCCATAATGGCTGCATCAATTTATATTCCCATCAACAGTGTAAGAGCTTAACTTCTCTCCGAATGTTTCCTTCTGATCATCATGTTTGGTGAAATGTTCTTGCTTAATTGCAATATATTTTTCCTGTTTTTTTAATGGTTTTTAATTTTCCAGTAAGTTTTTAACTTTACTATTGCGATAATTTTTTTCTGAATCTGTTAAATTAATGTATAATAGTAATAACTTTTCTAATTTTGAATCTGTATTTTTTTATATATATAAATTTATTTATATATTTATTTATTTTTGGCTGCATTGGGTCTTCGTTGCTGCGCGTGGGCTTTCTCTAGTCATGGCGAGCGGGGGCTACTCTTTGTTGCTGTGCGTGGGCTTCTCATCATGGTGGCTTCTCTTGGTGTGGAGCACGGGCTGTAGGCGTGTGGGCTTCAGTAGTTGTGGCATGCGGGCTCAGTAGTTGTGGCTCGCGGGCTCTAGAGCACAGGCTCAGTAGTTGTGGTGCACTGGCCTAGTTGCTCTGCGGCATGTGGGGTCTTCCTGGACCAGGGCTCAAACCCGTGTCCCTTGCATTGACAGGCGGATTCTTAACCACTGCACCACCAGGGAAGCCCCTGAATCAGTGTTTTATTAGTGGAATACACAAATAAACTCTTTTACACTTGGTGAAATGTGTTTTTCTTTCAGGGTCAGTTGACATTGAATGATGTGGTCATCGAATTCTCTCAGGAGGAGTGGGAATGCCTGGACCCTGCTCAGAGGGCCTTGTACAGGGACGTGATGTTGGAGACCTACAGGAACCTGATCTTTGTGGGTGAGGATAACTTCCCTCCAGATGTTAGGAGGGTATCTTTGCATTTACCCTTATTTGGCTTTTGGAATCCCATGCCTTGCTTAACTGAACTCAATGCCCTGATGTCTCAGACCACAGGAGTTTAAATGTGCCATTTCTCTAGATGGTCTGCCCACTTCATGATACACCAGGAGTTTTTTCTAGTGCTTAAGTATTTAAAACACCCAACTGGAAACTTTTAAAATAAAGGGGTCTCTTGCTCTCTCATCTCTCCTTTTGGACTTGATTCTCTTGAATGCTCAGTTTTCAGTCCATATAGATCAGAGCTGATGCCTCCAGACTCCAGTCCCTGGGCCTTTCTGGATTACACCCCCACCTGATATTTTTTAGAAGATCTAATTATAAGATGGGAAAACACTGCTTGCTGTTTCATTCCATCTGGCACCTCAGAACCTGCATGGAGCTTTCTCAAGCCCTGTCTGCTTGTTTAGATCTGTCGGCCATTTCTTCTGTTCTGACTTTGCCACACCCATCAGGGATGCGTGTGATAGGGAGGCGCATTAGGTCTTCTGTTATTGTAACTTATGGAAACTCTAAAGACGGTGGACAGAGACATCCTCGTTTTAATCCCCAGTCCTACATGGGGAGAACATATGAATCTTTCTGGCTTTATCTTGGAATCTATGGGTTGAGCTCATGATTCCATGTCAAGGACCCGTAATATCTGAACCCCGTATCTTATATTTTTTTCCTTTCTTATTGCTCTACTTAGTCAGGAAATATATATTCTTTCTGATTTAATATTCTCCTAAGTTTGCATGAGTTTGCCTTTGAAAGTTGCTTTTGAAAGACATGCTTCTAGGGACTGAAATTTTTCTCTCGTTTCTTGCCTTGATAATGTACCTGTAGTTAATGGACAACTTCTGGTGTATACTGTGGAATGGGTTTGCTGTGTAACAGAAAATTTTTGATGGAGAATACTTTTCCTCATATGTTGTAAGACCCTGGTAAGTCTTTGCAGTTCTTTTTCTGGTTTTGAGGAATATCACCAAGACATGTCTCAAAGGCACTGTGACAGTGTTGTTCACATGTAATAATTACCATTGTTTGAGCCTCAAGAAATGGTATAGGAATTTCTCCTAGGGATAACATTGTCCAAGTTCACATTCTCGTGTTAGACTATTGACTCAACTGTCATGCCATATTTTTTGTTGCCTGTGTGTGCTGTTGTTCATTATACCGTCACAGCTAATTTTGAAGCGTCTTAATGAGACAGACAGTTTGTGGAGTGATACTTTATCAATGGTGAGCTATCATTTTTTTGTTTACAGCACTGCTGCTTTCATTTTGTACATTTCTATGGGTAACAAGTGGTCTTGATTTTATTAATTTTATCATCAGGTCTATGTATTTGATGTTACTATTAGTGTTTTTGTTTTCTATTTTCCATGTGAGTGTTTGATTGGGGAAGAGCCCCCTCATGGTGGAATTTTTTTGTATAGAAATACATTGATTTTTGCATGTTAATTAAATGTCTGGTAATTTATTATTTCTAGCAGGGTTTTTTGTTTTTTTCCAGAATCTTCAGGATTTCTACAAATTAGATCATATTGGTTTTAAACAGATAATTTTGTTTCCTTTTTATATTTGGATACCTTTTATCTCTTTTTTCCCCTACTTGTTCTTGCTCCTACTAGGATTTCCAGGAATAAGTTTTTAGAAATAAGAGCAAGTGTCCTTGTCCTGTTTCTGATCTTAGAGGGAAATGCTTTCATTCTTTCACCATTGAGCATAATGTTAGCTGTGTGCTGTCAATACATGTCCTTTATTGTGTTGAGGTAGCTTTTTAAAACTTTTTTGGTTTATTGAGTATTTTTATCATGAAAGGCTGTTGACTTTTTTCACATGCTTTGCCAGCATCGATTGAGACCATCATGTAGGTTTTTTTTTATATTCTCTTTTTTGTATACATTTATTTACTTTATTTATTTATTTTTGGCTGTGTGGGTCTTCATTGGTGTGTGCAGGCTTTTTCTAGTTGCGGCAAGCGGGGGCTACTTTTCATTGCGGTGCACGGGCTTCTCATTGCGGTGACTTCTCTTGTTGCGGATCACGGGCTCTAGGCGTGTGAGCTTCAGTAGTTGTGGCACTCGGGCTCAGTAGTTGTGGCTCATGAGCTCTAGAGCACAGACTCCGTAGTTGTGGTTCACAGGCTTAGTTGCTCCATGGCACATGGGATCTTCCTGGACCAGGGATCAAACCCTTGTCCCCTGCATTGGCAGGCGGAGTGTTAACCACTCTGCCACCAGAGAAGTCCTTTTTTCATTCTCTTAATGTATTGTTTTACACTGAATGTTTTCATATGTTGAAGCATCTTGATATTTCAAGAATATATTCTCTTTTTTTATGGTATCTAATCCTTTTAATTTGGTGTTGAGTTTAGCTTACCATTGTTGTATTGATGCTTTTTGCATGATTATTCATTATAGAGATTTTAGTCTGTGTTTTTTTTTTAATGTCTTTCTGCCACTGGTATTAGAGTAATTCTCGTGGCATAGAGTTTGCAACTGTTCCTTTCTCTGTGTTTCTTTGGGGGCAGAGTTTAGGAAGAGTACTCTTAACTGTTTGGAAATGTTGTCTAGAATTCTGCAGTGAATGTATCTGGCCTTTCTTGTTGAATGGTTTTTGATTAGTGATTCCATCTTTTTTCCAGTTACTGGTTCATACAGATTTTAATTTCTTCTCTGGTTTGCATTGATAGGTTGTTATTTTTCTAAGAATTTATTTACTTCTTCTAGTTTATCCAATACTTAGCAATAGAATTGTCTTAATATTTTGTTCTAATTTTCTTGATTGTTGTCGAATCAGTTGTAATGTCCTCTCTTTCATTTCTGATTTCAGTAATTTGAGTCTTTACTCTTTTTGGTAGTTATTCTAGATGTAGGTAAGAACCAAGTTGTGAGTTTGTGATTTTATGTAGTTTTTATTCTCTATTTCATTGATTTGTAATCTAATGCTTTTTACATCTGCTAGTTTTGGCATATTTTCTACTTCTAAATCATTTATTTTTTAAGTTTCTTGAAATTTATTTACTTGGTAAACCACGACCTTTTTTGTCTACTTATTTGTATTTTCTCTTTCCCAATTTATTGAAATTTAATTAACATATATCATTTTATCAGTTTAAGGTGTACAGGGTAATGATTTGATCCAGTTGTATTGCAAAATAATTACCTTGGTAGGTCACTTAATACATTCATCTGTGACATAATTACAGTTTTTTATGTGTGGTGAGAACATTTAAGGTCTACCATCTTATCAACTTTTAGGCATATAGTATAGTATTGATAATTATAATTACCATGCTGTACATTAAATATGTAGAAATCTTTCAACTTAAAATGGTAAATTTACTCCTTTGACGAATATCTTCCCATTCTACTAACCCCTAACCTTTGGTAGTCACTATGCTACTCTATGTGGCTCTTAGTTTGGCCCTTTTTTTTTGATATGTTTTACACATAAGTGAGATTATTGAGTATTATTCTTTCTCTGTGGATTATTTTACTGAGTCTGTACCCTTGTTATCCATCTGTATTGTTAAAAATAGTAGGAATTTTTTCTTCTTTATGGGTAAATGATATTACATTCTGTATATCTCACAGGGTTTTTCCCCATTCATCTGTTGGACCCTTAGGTTGTTTTGATGCCTGGGCTATTGTGATTACTGCTCTGATAAATGTGGGAGTGCAGGTATCTTCTAAGACAGTGATTTCATTTTTTTCGATATATTGCCAACACTGTAATTGCTGCATTATATGATAGTTTTGTTCTTTTTAAAATATATTGAGGAACTTTTATAGTTTTTGATTTCTTTATATCTGTATGTTTGTGTATAGCATAAACTCATTCATCTGTTTTTGATGGCCTTCTTCTGGCTTTTCCTTCAAATTTCAGCTAAGAACATTCTTGTACATCTTATGGAATATTATGTGTGCTCTTTATGAATATATGCATGGAAATGGGACTTATGGAATATTCAGTTTATGCCTTACATAGGAAACAGTGTGATAGATGTAAACCTGCTTTGTTTCTATAATACTTCATTTTCTCTGTTTTTAAATGTCTTCAGTGTCTGTTCCATACCTATACTATAATTCCCACTGTTAAACATGGAGCAGTATTATGTTACTTGCTAGGCCAGTTCTTTTCTTTTAACTTTCATGTTTTCAGTTGCCTCATTACTCACACTGTAAAAATGATCCCTGTTCATCCATTGAACAACTTTCTCAGGACACAACCTAAATCATTATGTGCAGTTATGATGACTCAGAAACCATTTCAAGTAGGGGTGAGTGAATAATGTTTTTAGTTCCATGGGTCACTTCTTCTTGCATCTCCCCAGAAGTTTTTTCTCTAAACTCCTGGTATTTGTGTGTTTAATGTTAATTGCTATGTCCTTTGTGGTCATGGTGGAAAAACACTTATTTTGAGAGCTCATATAAGTTTTTACAATTTGAGTGTTTTGTCGTAGTGTGTTTCAAATTAGGCTACCCTAAACTTTTTTTTTTCTATACAGCAGGTTCTTATTACTTATATATTTCATACGTATTAGTGTATGTATGTCAATCCCAATCCCCTATGCTACACTAAACTTAATTTGAATTACGTGTTATCACTTTCTTTAGTAAGTAATCCTATTTAGTGTTTCTAAAAATTTGAGCATAATGGTTGCACAGTTTCATAACTGATTGTTTATAAGTATTACTTTTGGTATAATATCACGTATTTAACATGAAACATTTACTCATGCATTGTAATGAGTAGGTCATGTATGTTTCTTTATGTCTTGTAGATATCTCTCATATACATGTGACCAAGAAATTACAACTAAAGTCAAACACTGATAAAGGTGGAGTATTCCAAACATTGATGTTGGAAAGACATGAAAGCCAGGGAATCAAACATTTTTACCTCCCGGAAATTCAGGAAAATACCTATGACCATGGTTTTCAGTGGAGAGATGATGGAAGAAGTTACAGAAATATCCCCATATCCTGTCACCAATATGTCACTGATAGAAGTCCACATGGTGGAAGGGATGCAAAAAACAAGCCTATTGGAAATAGACTTGTGTTAAGCCTTCAGGATGAACTGCACATGTTTAAAAGTAAACAGAAAACTGATGAATTTAATAAAGCTGTTAAGGGTATCAGCAGTAGTTCCTCATTTTCACCACTTCAAGGAATTTCTCCTCCTGTCCAAAACAACATTTCTAACAGATATGGGAATGATTTTATGCATCCTTCAATACTGACACAAGACCAGAGCCCACACAGGGAAGTACCTTACAAGTGTAATGAGTGTGGCAAAACCTTTCATCAGGTCTCAAATCTCAGGAGTCATCAGAGAATCCATATAGGAAAGAAACTGCATAAATGTGATGTATGTGACAAGGTCTTTTGCCGAAATTCATACCTTGTAATTCATCAAAGAGTTCATAGTGGAGAGAAACCTTACAAGTGTAATGAGTGTGGAAAGGTCTTTGATAAGAAAGGAAGTCTTGCAGTTCACCAGAGAATTCATACTGGAGAGAAGCCTTACAAATGCAATGAGTGTGGCAGAACCTTTCCTATCGGCTCATACCTCAAAAGACATCAGATAACACACATTCAAGAGAAATTATATAAATGTGATATATGTGGCAAAGTCTGTCGTCAGAATCTATCCCTTCAACGTCATCAGGGAATTCATACTGGAGAGAAAACTTACAAATGTAGTTTTTGTGGGAAAACCTTTCTTTGTGGCACAGACCTCAGGAAACATGAGATAATCCGTCCAGGAGCAAAAGCATATAAATGTGATGTATGTGACAAAGTCTATGGTCAAAATTCATATCTTAAATGTCACCAGAGAATTCATACTGGAGAGAAACCTTACAAATGTAATTTGTGTGGGAAAACCTTTTTTTTTAAAACAGGCCTCAGGAAACATGAGATAATCCATACAGGAGCAAAACCATATAAATGTGATGTATGTGGCAAAGTCTTTAATCAAAAATCAGTCCTTGTGAATCATCAGAGAATTCATACTGGAGAGAAACCTCACAAATGTAATGAGTGTGGCAAGTTCTTTCGTGAGAAGCAGACCCTTAGAAGGCATCAACAAGTTCATACTGGAGAGAAACCTTACAAATGTAATGAGTGTGGCAAGGCTTTTAGTATGAAAGGAAACCTTGCAGCTCATCAGAGAATTCATACTGAAGAAAAACCTTACAAATGTAACAGCTGTGGCAAAGTCTTTCGTGAGAAGCCAGCTCTTAGAAGGCATCAACGAATTCATACTGGCGAGAAACCTTACAAATGTAATGAGTGTGTCAGAGCCTTTCGTGAGAAGCCAGCCCTTAGGAGGCATCAACGAATTCATACTGGAGAGAAACCTTACAAATGTAATGAGTGTGGCAGAGCCTTTCATGAGAAGCCAGCCCTTAGAAGGCATCAACGAATTCATACTGGAGAGAAACCTTACAAATGTAATGAGTGTGGCAAAGCCTTTAGTCAAAGTTCAACCCTATCAAGTCATTGGAGATTACATACTAGTGAGCAGTCTTACAGATACAATGAGCATGGCAAATTCTTCAGTGTGCTTTCAAGCCTAAGTTAATACCATCAGGCAATCCATACTGGTGAGAGACTTTAATAATGTTTTGATGTGACAAGGCTTTTAGCAGGTGTCCCCATCTTAGGCTTTATTAGAAAATTCATTATGGATAGAAACCAGATAAATGTAATTATTGTGTCCTGTCTTTTAAACGAGGAATTTATTCACCAAAGAATTCATTCTGGAGATTACCTCACAAATGTTATGAATGGGAGAGAAAACTTTACTCGGGGCTCACATCTCACTAATCATAAGACAGTCCATACTGAACAGAACATTATAGCTGTTCTCCACCTTGGGACCGTTTTATTTTTTTTAACGCTCCTTAATACCTGCCTCCATTCTTGAATATGCAGTATATGAATGTATTTTTTCTTGTTCTTTCATGTGTCTACATAAATGTCATGGTATGCACCTTGATTTTTATTTATTTATTTATTTATTTATTTATTTATTGGCTCTGTTGGGTCTTGGTTGCTGTGCGGGCTTTCTCTAGTTGTGGCGAGCAGGGGCTGCTCTTCGTTGCTGTGTGTGGGCTTCTCATTGCGGTGGCTTCTCCTGTTGCAGAGCACAGGCTCTAGGCGCTTGGGTATCAGTAGTTGTGGCACGCAGGCTCAGTAGTTGTGGCTCAAGACCTCTAGAACACAGGCTCAGTGGTTGTGGTGCTCGGGCTTAGTTGCTCTGTGGCATGTGGACCAGGGCTTGAACCCCTGTCCCCTGCATTGGCAGGCAGATTCTTAACCACTGCGCTACGAGGGAAGCCCCCTGCACCTTGATTTGGATTAAGAGAAAATAGGAATATAGTAAGTGTATGCAAAACACTAAAAATCATGCAATTTCACATTTGTCCTTTACATAAATGTCATGACATGCACCTTGATTTACATGATGGGAAAATAGCAATATAGTAAACACATGCAAGATATTAGAAAATTTAAAAATCATACAATGGTTTGTCCTTTTTGAGCTCAGTGCTTTTTTTTTTTTTTTTTGCCTGCATTCAGTCTACATTGCTGACTGCGGGCTTTTTCTTGTTGTGGTGAGCAGGGGCTACTCTTCGTTGTGATGCATGGGCTTCTCATTGCAGTGGCTTCTCTTGTTGTAGAGCACAAACTCTAGGCACGTGGGCTTCAGTAGTTGTGGCCTGCAGGCTCTAGAGCACAGGCTTAGTAGTTGTGGCACATGGGCTTTGTTGCTCCGTGGCATGTGGGATCTTCCCAGACCTGGGATCAAACCCCTGTCCCCTGCATTGGCAGGCGGATTCTTAACCACTGTGCCACCAGGGAAGTCCATCAGTGTATTAATTTTAAAAGATCAATGTTCATGGATTTTCTTTTAAAAATGAGTATTATACAATGGGAATGTTTTTGTTTGAGAAACGAGAAATTTCATATATTCACCCTTAAAAAGTTTTTTTATTTTTGCTAGTTTGCACTTGTGGTCATTCACTGGAGTATAGTAGAACCCCACCTGAAGTTTGGTTTGGTTATTGAGGGTGATATTAACATTGAAATGTTATGAGAATGTTACATAATTCAGCTTTCTAGGCACATGTTGGAAACTTCCAAGGTGTTCAAAAAATGGTTTGAGAGGACAGGGAATGGTGATTTGTTTGGTGTGTTAAGGAAATTACTTGATGAGGCTTGACGTTTGAACTTCCAGGTTAAATCAAAGAAGGGACCCTTCAGGCTTTTTTTATCAGCTTGCTCAGGACGAATGGGAAGATGTCCCGAAGATTAAAAGGTGTCATTAATCAAACACTGAAAAATGGAGTCTGTTTGACAAAACAGTGAATATTTGCTCTTAAAGCTCCTGATTTCTTGATAAGGAACACCACACTTTTCTTTATGATAATAATTTATTACATTGTTTTGTTTGCAGCACACATTCATCTCATTGTGCAATATGGTTGTTGAAAATGCTTATAAAATATTAAATATTTAAATATTTAATATATATATTAAATATATATTTTATATATTAATATATTTTAATATATTAATATTTTAAATATTAAATAAAATTGCCTAAGGTATTTTTATCCTAGATTAATAAAAATGGGTGTTTGGAAGTGTTTATCAGATAATATAACTAAGCAATTTACTAGAAGAGCAATTATTGATAGGCTCCTAAAATCTCAATTTCAAATTGTGGTATTAAGCAATGTGGTGTTACATGGTTAATTTTCTACTGTAAGATATATATATAGAGAGAGAGATATATTGATTTTTTTTTTTTTTTTGGCTGCACCATGCAGCTTAGGGGATCTTGGTTTCTTACCCAGGTATCGAACCCGGTCCCTACATTGAAAGAGCAGAGTCCTAACCTCTGGACTGCCAGGGAATTCCAGAAAAAAAATTTTTTTTGAATACAGTTTTTTCTTAGCATTACTTTTTTCTTTCCCCACATATTTCCCTTGTTTTAAACCGAAGGATCTCTAAATCAGTGGGTTGTTTTAGGATTCCTGTGAAATGAAAATGAACATAACTCAATGAGAGGTAGAAAGTAGAGGCACTGAAAATATGAAGAGAGTTCCTTTAGGACTTTAATTCCATGGAAGCCTTTAGGACTTTAGTTCATTTTGGAATGTCATGAGGGTAAACTGAAATCTTTTAATGTGGGAGCTGGCTGTGGTCAGGTGTTTCAAAATCCAGTATGTGGAGTTTAGGAAGCACACAATGAAACCAAAAGGATTAATGAGATAGACCCCAAGAGTCCAACTATAGTCTAACAAGGAGACAGTCTCCATTGCCAGATGCCTGGAAGCCATTCTGCCATTTCCAGTGATGTATTGACATTCAAAGGCAGAGCTCCTTGCAGAGAAAATAAGATTTGTGCTATTTTTAGCATGACAACTGATACCCATTATGCTCCACTTAGACTTTGTTACTAACCAAAATAATACAGATTCTCTGATAAGTGATCTTTAAAAAAAAATTTATTTATTCGGTTGTGCTGGGTCTTATTTGCGGCAGGCGGGCTCCTTAGTTGTGGCATGTGAACTCTTAGTTGCGGCATGCATGTGGGATCTAGTTACCTGACCAGGGATCCAGCCGGGGGCCCCCTGCATTGGGAGCATGGATTCTTAACCACTGCACCACCAAGGAAGTCCCCTTTAATAAGTGATCTTAATTTTTATTTCTATTGTCTTTCATATTACACTTCAAATACAAGTCACTGTTATTAATGTGTTATGCATAGTAACTTACTGAATTTTCATCTCTGAAAAAAGTACTTATTCTGATTTCAGAAATGAAGGAATTTAGGACAAAGACAGGTTTAAAGACTCATTCAGTTCCATCCCAGCAAGTGGCTGAATCAGGATACGAAGCGGGTTGTGTGTTGTAATCATGAGTAATGATTATTCAATAGTAAAGCTGTTTCCTTTCCATATTACCTAGGTGGAGGAAATTTATTGGTCTTACATTTTGGTTTTGTTCGTAATTGTATTTCCCCACAGTGTTGATGTGAAAGATTATTTATTGGATAATTCAGGTCAGTTATTGTATACTCATTTAGATTAGATACATCCTCAATTGGTCCTCTGCAGGATTACATGAAGACTTACCAGCAGGTATGTCTGCATTGGAAAAGATTTAACATAATATCCAGTTCATCCACATGTGTGTACTGTCTCCATGCCCAATGCAAATGACAAGTCACATGTGGTTCTCTTTCCCAAGTAACAGAAAACAAAAGACCCTTCATCACATCAATAAAGAGTAGCTTAGGGACTTCCCTGCTGGTCCAGTGTTTAAGACTTAACCTTCCAATGCAGGGGGTGTGGATTTGATCCCTGGTTGGGGAGCTAAGATCCCACATACCTCGCAGCAAAAAAATCAAAACATAAAACAGAAGCAATATTGTAACAGACTCAGTAAAGACTTAAAAATGGTTCACATAAAAAAAAAGTAAAAAAAAGAATAGCTCATGTCTCACCAGCTTTTTTTTAAGTTGAGCCTTTATTTATTTATTGGCCGCGTTGCATCTTCGTTGATGCACGCAGGCTTTCTCTAGTTGCGGCGAGCAGGGGCTACTCTTCGTTGCGGTGCTCAGGCTTCTCATTGCTGTGGCTTCTCGTTGCAGAGCATGAGCTCTAGGTGCGCAAGCTTCAGTATTTGCAGCACGTTGGCTCAGTAGTTATGGCTTGCGGGCTCTAGAGTGCAGGCTCAGTAGTTGTGGCTCACGGGCTTAGTTGATCCACAGAATGTGGGATCTTCCCGGACCAGGGCTCGAACCCATGTTCCCTGCATTGGCAGGTGGATTGTTAACCACTGTGCCACCAGGGAAGTCCTCACCAACTTACTTCTATGATAAGGAGATAAACTTTGCATGACTTAGTCCTCCAGTCTCAGATGCTAGGTCTTGTCCCTGAGTCTCTGGAACTGAGCAGAGTGTTGAGTTTGGCCTCCTGCTTGAATGTGAAGAGAAAACGGAAAAGCTGTTCTTTAGGGTGTGAGTAAAAAGTAGCACTTACTGCTTAGGGAGGGTTTTGTATTTGTTATTCTAGTTTGTAATACAGAGAAACGCCCAGTGCAGGAAATATTTCTGAATCCACTGCCCCACAGCAACCACTTGGAGACCCAAGTTTCCAGGCCTCTGAATTGCTTTCTCCTTGCTAGCAGGATATGGGAGCAACCTGCTGGCAAAACAGCTTTTTTGAAACCGTTTTCATCTCGCAGAAACAGCTTCCAACGTAAGTGGCCCACAAAATTTTTAGCTTTCACCTTAAAACTGTCACAGAGGACTTCCGTGGTGGCACAGTGGTTAAGAATCTGCCTGCCAATGCAGGGACACGGGTTCGAGCCCTGGTTTTCGAAGATCCCACATGCCATTGAGCAACTAAGCCCCTGAGCCACAGCTACTGAGCCTGCGTGCTGCAGCTACTAAAGCCCACGCGCCTAGAGCCCATGCTCTGCAACAAGAGAAGCCACCACAATGAGAAACCTGTGCACTGCAAGGAAGAGTAGCTTCCGCGCCCCGCAACTAGAGAAAGCCTGCCCGCAGCAACGAAGACCCAATACAGACAAAAATAATTTTTTTAAAAAAGCACCCAAAACTGTCGCAGATAG